GGCTACCGACGAGCGTGGACAAATGCAGTGCGGCGGCGCCACACAAAAGTTCGATGAGAGCACGCCTGTCGGCCATGCGGCACCTCTCGGCAGCATCTCGAATAGGTACGTGGAGATCTCGAGGCAGGCCGAGGCGGCGGCGGCGGCCGCCGCCGCTGTGTCAAAGGCGCGAGCCAAACGCAAGCTCCAGCGGGAGGGCTCCAGCGGCGGGCTGCCGTTCTGACAGAGTCCTGTGGTTCGTCTCGCGGCGCGCCGAACCGAACGAGCTCTCGAGGGAGCTCTCCAGCATTTTAGGTGATAGCCCCTCTTTTCCTTCCCGGCGTCAGTTCGCAGGGATTGCGGCCGTACCGCATTTTTGCCTGACCGCGCCCAATACATGTCGCAGACTCCAGTTGCACGGTATCTGGTGACATCTTCAGCACATTTACCGGCGCGATTGTAAACCCCGCGCGGCGTGTAACTTGGATTGTCGGCGGTTTTCACATTTATATTGTGAATCGGGCTCACTCGAGCTCGAGCAGGTGGGTGGCCGGTGCGCTAAATATACGCTCCGTCGCCTTCGCATGCCGAAATGCGCAGCGCGCGACGTCCGGCGACATCGAGGTTACATAAGGTCCCTGGGTCCCCGCGCATCTGCTGCGCGGCCCTTCGACGGTGAGACGCACAATCATGGATGGGCCCTCTTTGCACATAAGAAAAAGGATGTGAGCAATGGTGGTGTTACGTGTTGAAACCACACTTGTAAAATGACGGATGTGAAAAATTATGAAAGCAATCGTCCAGACCAGGGATACGAGCAGGTGACGCCTGAACATGCCAGCCCCCCCCCCCCCCCCGCCCCGCCCGCCCCACAAGCTCCATCCTGCAAGCCCTGGCCTAATAGTTCTCGGTGGCCATAGCGGAGCCCGTGTTCGCCAGCGAGCGGATCCGCTCGCCGGTGAGCGCTGCCGTGTCACGCGGGGCCGCAAACGCAGCCCCGAACCGCGAAAACTTGAAGGCGGTGTCGACGTACTCCGACGCCATCACGTAGTCGCGCCACGAGCCCTCGATCGCACCCTCGGCAATCGCGGTAGTGGTGAGGTTGGTTCCCGCGCGCGGCACCGGATCGCGCGCGCCGATGATGCCGATGCCATCCCCGTCGAACGACTGGCCAACGATGCCGTGCGGTGCGACCTGCAAGCTCTCCTTCGGCACTCGGAGGGTTATCCCGAGGTCGAGGCGGACCTTGGGCCCACTCAGCCAATTCCACTGGTAGTCGTAGCTCGGTACTGCCATTGGACTGATGGTGATGTTCCACTCGGGCAGCGACAGGAGAACGCTGGAGTAGTTGGACATGCACATGCACATGACATGGACATGGACATGGAGATGGACATGGACATGGACATGGAGATGGACATGGACATGGACATGTATGGGTGATTAAATTTTGGTTCGACGCCTTTTTACGTTGTTTGGTTTTCCGTTGCCCACACAGAGCGCGGAGAGCCAGCGTGTGACGATGTAGAGCACTGTGGAGCGCTGAGAGCTGTAGTGTGTAGAGCTCTACACCGGGGAGTACACCCGGTGGGAGCGACTCCCCTCTCCTATTCTTGATTATGTTTGCATATATGGACTTGGAGGGGGGTGAAATTCTGAAAAACGTGCAGCACTTCTAGCCGACATCGACAAAAGTCACTCTCTAGCCCCGCGGCGAGCGGCCCCGCCGGAGGCGAAGAAAATTTTGCCATCTAGCGCACTCTAACACACATTTTTGCACAAATCGACGCCTCCAAAATAAGTCTTCACTGCAGCACGCCCTCGAGACACGCTCGAGCACGACGACCACGACCCCGGCCCCCTCGCAGAGCGCATCAGGCGCGACAAGCGCGAGTTCTCCATTTTCGGCGCAGAGCGCATCAGGCGCGACAAGCGCGAGTTCTCCGGCCGCTCCTCCGACGACTCCTCCTCCGACCGCGACTCATGCGGCACCGGCTCCACTAGCGAGGCGAATGACATATTCGACACCCTCGAAGACCATCTCGGCTACGGTTCCGACTCCGGCTCCGGCTGGTAGTCGACAAGCTGCCGAGCGCAAATCACTCTGTGTGACACATTTCTTGTTGGCTTCTAAAAATCTCTCTCTCGCCCTCGAGCGAGTAATGCGTCTGTAGGCCAATATAGAGCTTCTCGCGCGCGCTCCTCAGCTGGCGGTCCGCAGGGCCGCCCGGGCGAGAAGCGCAAGCCCGCCAGCCGCACCATGTGATTCACGATGATGAGCGTCTCGGCCTCGAGCAGCGTGTAGGAGCGAAGCTTGCCCTCGCACTCGCGTTGCTCGAGCCTGAAGCCACTGCGCCTTGACCACGAGATAGCCCGCGGGGATGGTGTCGGTGTGTTGACGACCGTGTCCTCGGCCAGCGTGTGCGCCTTCCCCTTGAGCACCGCCAGCCAGTAGAGCACCTCGAGCGACTGCTCGCGCCGATCTCTGCGCGGCGACAGCGGCCTGGAAGGACACGTCTCCGGCCAAGTCGGTTACGGGGAGGGCTACTACGAGGTCTTTGCGCGGGGGTGGTCGGGCGCCAGGCGCCCAGTCGATTGCCGCATAGTTCGTCGTAGTAGCCCTATCATAAACCTCTTATTCACACCTTGCACTTTGAAAAAAGAAATATCCGACCTTTGTCGAAGATCCGGAGGGTTTATCAGAGCATCACCCAGGGTACTCGCGCAAACATGGAGTGTATACACCCTCCCTCAGGAGTCAGGTCATGAGGCCCCGCGCGGGCCGCGGCGGCTCTGAGGCGCGTTGCACTTGCCAGTGCTGCCCTGGCCTTCTGTCTGCCCGCCCAATGGGTGGGAGTGCCTCTGCTGCTATGGCATGCCTCACGGCTGCGACTGGCCGGCGCCTCGGCGCGTCAGCTCGGCTCGGCGTAGCGATAGTGGCCAGCGCAACTCGCCTGAACTCAACGCTCAGCCAGGAGCTTCCGCACGCGCTGGCGCGAGTTATGGCGCATGCAACGCGTCTGAATGCTCGCCTCGCCTCGCGCAAATGCGACCGTCCTCGCAGCCGACAGTCCACCGCCTGCTAAAGAAGCACAGCGACGAATGCGGCACCGGCGACACATGGCAGGCTGGTCATGACGCAGTCATAGGGTGTTGTGTGCCGTCGGAGTGACTCTCTGTGTGTCAGGGATAGTCAGGGCTGTCCATCAGAGCTCCAGTAAGCTCGGAGACACCCCATTAGCGCGGCTCGACCTCTTTGAGTCACTGCCTTCCCGGCGGTTTGGCTGTAGAGCCTCTACAACAAACTCTACAGCAAAATCGCGCTATACATCGCTCTACAACGGAGGCGCTTCGTCCCGCGGTGGATGTAGAGCTCTACAGCTCTACAGCGCTCTCCAGCTCTACAGCTCTACAGCGCTCTACACTCTACATCCTCTACACCCTCCCTCAGAGAGGGCCTCCAGGGCTCGCATGTCAACCTCTCACAGACCAGCGCACAGCGCGATAGGAGTATTTTCTTCTCAATAACAAGGCTGTGAATCGTGCGACAGCTCGCGTGTGCGTGTGCCAGCCAAATCAATTCTCTCTTTCCGGAGATTTATTGAGCTGTGAGCTGAGGGTCCGCCCGCACAGGCGGCCGCGGCGCCTCATGACCAAATTGGCACAGATGAGAAGGAGGATGTGGAGGAGATCACTCACCGCCTCCTCCTCACTCATCACACATCAGACAGACGGCCGCATCAATTACAAAAAACAAAGGCACGTCCGCGTACGAGCAGAATGAAGTTCCCGGGCAAGGCGAAAGTGTCGCACGCGATGAGCACGTAGGGGCGAGACTACGGCAGTCAGGTGTGCCGCTATCACAGGGGCTCCTCTACCCACCCAGCACATCTGGTTCTTGGGTGCTATAGCTTGGGTGGTGCTCTACGTAGGTAGGGAGGGGTGGCCCCGCCAATGAAGCATGATGGCGGTCCGGTCCGTATAGGGCTAGTCCACCTGACCCTCTGTGTGCCAAAACTCTGTGTGTGCCGAATCAAGACGGGCCCCCGGCCGCGGGAACGTGCGGGACCTCTAGCGCCGGGACCCTCTCTGAGGTCAAAGACACAACCAACATCAGCCCACAAGCGGGGCGGGGCCCAGAGGCGGCACCGAGTGACCGAGAGCCGGAGTCAAACCCTCTGTGCCGCCAAGCCAGGGGCCTGGCCCGTTCTAAGAGGAGGGGCTAAGGCCTCAGGGTGGGAACAACTCCCGAATACAGGCGGGCACCGGCCGGCTTTCTTTTCTCATCCCCGCCTCTCTTTGAAGCCAACGGTGTTGAGCCGCCCGCTGAACCTGGCTGCGGGCCCGTCGCGCCGCGCCCACAGCCACGCACAGCTTCACAGTCTTTCCTACCTCGCCCTGCGCCGCGCACCTCCCGACACGCGTGGTGCACTCGCGCGAGCGGGCACGGCGCTCGCGGCCCTTGCGCTCGTGACATCACCCGCCCTCTGCGCAGACGAGCAGCTCTGCGTGCATCATGAACGACGCCAGCGCATCGTTCCGGCTGTGGAAGGCGCCATAGCCACGCTCTGCCCAAAACCTGCCGAGTGCAGCCGGCGCCCGCGCAGCGGGGGCGCACTGGTGTGCGAGGCCAGCGGCCGCAGTCGCATCAGCGAGCCGGCGGCTCTGCGATACCTCTCCCGCCACCTCGTCCTTCAGCCGCCGCCGCCGGCGCGCTCATTCGCCCGCTCTCCTCCCGTCCGCGCCACGCAGAGGGGTCAGAAGCTCGGCGAGGGGACCTTTGGCGAGGTGTACATAGCGACGCACGAGCGGACCGGCGAGACGGCCGCGCTCAAAAAGATCAAGCTCGAGTGCGAGGACGAGGGCGTGCCGGGCACGACGCTGCGCGAGGTCTCCCTGCTCAAGGAGCTGCAGCACCCGAATGTCGTCCAGTGAGCGCCGCCCGCGATGTCCTCTCTGCGCTCTCTCCTCTGCACGTCATGGGCCCGCCCCGCAGTCTGCAGCGGCAGTCCCTCGGCCTGACGCACACACCCCGCGCGCGCAGGCTCAAGGACGTGTTCTACATGCCCAACGACAACAAGCTGTACCTATGCTTCGAGTACTGCGACTACGACCTCAAAAAGTACATGAAGTCGCTGCAGTACAGGTTGAGCGCCGCCTGCATCAAGGCTCGCTCGCGCCTGCGCCCGGCCAGCGCCACAGTGCTGCAGTGGCGGAGGCCGCACTCAACCCCCCCCCCCCCCCCCCGGCCGGGGGGAGTTGTTTACGTACCAAATGATCCCCGGGCTCAACTGGGGGCACTCGCCACGGATCTTCCACCGGGACCTCAAGGCGCAAAAAGTGCTCCTCGACCCGAAGCGCGGCACGCTCAAGCTGGGGAGGGGGAACGTCCGAGAAACCTCAGAAAGGCTGTCCAGGGGCATTTTAAAGGGCAGTTGTTACTTCCCCGGGGGCCGGGGGGGGCGCCAGAAGCTTTGTTTTTCGAACCGGTCCACAAGGCCCTGGGTGGGTGGGTTTCTTCCCCTTTCTCCAAGACGGTGCGCTTCCCGGGATGTTCTGGAGGTTGCCCACCTTGTCCCGGGCCCTTTTCCAAAACTTTGGGCTTCCGGC